CTGTGTGCTGTTGAAGAAGAATGATCTGGTCCTGCATTTCATGTCATTCCATAAAGCCTAGGAATGGTCATAGAACAAAAAAAAGGTCAAATAGGTAATGAACAACCCAGGCATAAGATTATGAAATATCAGAAGCAGGAAAATTTTAATTCAAAGGAACAATCTTATATAAAAAGTAGATCTTAATGCAACATAAACATTCTGACACGTTGCTCTCTACTATGAGTCCAAGTTTTTCCCCTTGTTGTTCCAGTCTTATCAGCACACAAATGTCATGGGTTCTGTTTCTTTAACAGATAGATATGTAAGCTAAGTAACAGGAATATAGGTCCTATCAAAATGACAATGCATGGTGATTTTTCTTTTATGTCTCAAAGACTACAGTTTATGTATAATTTAAATAAAATTGCTCTATATATGAATGCTGCTTCATCAATAAAAAAGATCAGACTTGCATTTGTTTATTATGAAGTACCATTTTACAGTGATTCTTTAAAATAAGGTAACCTCCTGTCATCCAGCACACAGATCCAGGGGCTGCACCCCTGTGAGGGCTGCGGGGTTCTGCCAGACTTTTCTTGGGGGTGCGGGGCCCCGGATCTATGTACCAGATGACAGGAGGCTGCTGCTGCCACCTGGGCACAGCCCATGCCTAGCACTGGGAAGACTGCTGCTGCTGCTGGCCCCAAGCAGCAGCCTCCTGCCTCCTGTCATCCCAAGTGCAGATCTGAGGGCCCACACCCCTGGGAGGAATCTGGCAGTGCTGGGAGGGCAGGCTGAGGTCCGTGGGGCTGGAGGAGCCTCTCAGAATGCAGCCCAGTGGCGGGAGGTGGGGGAGAGCCAGGGCTGTACTCCGACTGGTTCTGCCAGCCCCACAGAGCCCAACCTAGCAGCGGGAGGTGGGAGGGAACCTGGGTTGTGCTTCACCTCCCATCATCGGACTGAGCTCCTTGGGGCTGGCAGAGCTGCTCAGAGTGCAGCCCAGTGGTGGGAGGTGGGGGAGAGCCAAGGCTGTACTCCGACTGGCTCCGTCAGCCCCATGGAGCTCAGCCCAGTGGTGGGAGGTGGAGAGCCAGGGCTGCACTCCACCTCCCGCCACTGGACTGAGTTCCATGGGCTGGCAAAGCTGCTCGGAGTGCAGCTCTGGTTCTCTCCCACCTCCTGCCACTGGGCTGCTTTGAAACTTGAAATGTTTTAAAACTTTTTAAACATTTCAAGTGCTTCATTTCATTTCAAAGCTGTTTTGAAGCTTTTTGTTTCATTTTGATTTTGCTGTTTCAAAACGAAACGCTTGGCGACATTTTGCACAGCCCTACTGGCTAGCACCTTATTCTACAAATAGACAACTTATCCTACTAGGATAAATTATCCTTTTCTACTAAGATAACTTAAATAGTAAGTTGTTACTCAAAATTAGTATGTATAGGACTATGTCTGGCCTTTATGCAAATGGAACAGCCACAATTGCTCTTTCCAGTCACTAACTTCTATACATTAAGCTGAAAAGTTCCTAAGAATTGCCATTTACTGTACATTGCCAGTTACACCATGGCTAGGGACAAATGTTACACATAAATTGGTTTGAGTGATCAGAAACTGGTTTAAAGCTGTAACAGAATGTAAGTTCAATGCACGTAAGATAAACCTTGTTGAATGTAGTATCAGACTCAACTGATTTGGGTCAAACTGGTTTATGCAAGTTCTGTCCCAGACCTCTTCCTGGTTTAAGTTAAATCAGAGTCTCCCAGCATCCCAGCATGCATTTCAGCCCTGGGCTAGACTGGACTGGTCTGTCTGCTCCAGAAAGCAGGGCTGGCCCCATCCCTCCCACCCTAGCCGGAACACTATCACTGCTCCAGCTGGCTGAGGAGGAGGGTGGGGGACCACAGGCATAGCAGCATCTGCCTGGCTTCCCCGTGCCCCCCCTCACCACTCACTGCTCAAGCGGGGATCCCCCACTCTATCCCTCCCTCTCTTCTCCCACAGCACAGACCCTACCTGGCATCTGGTCATGGTCATGCCACCCCCATGCTAGCTAATGCTGAGAGGTGTCTGTGTGTGTTTCTCCAATTTCAGTGGGACAAAGGCAGACAGAACATGAACTAATGTGAGAGGCTTTTGTTTTCTTGATGGGCTAAGAAACTTTGTGTTATCAGCAGGGATCCTTATTTTCCTTGATAAAAAAATCAAATTCTCGAATTAAAAAATTGCAAATTCTCTGATAAAAAAATCCCAAAATCCATTACTAAAATTAAAGCCCCCCCTCCACAGTCCCCACAGCCCTGCTGGTGCTCCTTACTCCCTCCCCTCCCACTTCCCCCCAGCCTTGCTCGTGCCCTTCACCCCCCCCCCCCCCCCCCCCCCACACAGCCTCCATACCCCTGCCAGTGACCCACAGCCCCCTGCCTCTTCAGCCCTGCCAGAGGGGCCCCCAGCTGACAGGGCTATGGGGCCAGGGACCTGGGTTCACAGTCCCCTGCCCCCGACAGAAGGCATAGGCTGCTACAGTGGAGCAGAGCCCAGATCCTCTGCACTGCCTGCTGCCTGCCTGCTGTGTGCTTGGGTGTGTGTGGTCTGGCTCATTGCACACTCCCAGGGGTCAGGGGGGATCGGTGCTCCCCAGGTCTATTCACAGGGTGGGAGTGGGGGTGGGTGCATGCTGCAGGGTTGGGCACCTGCCCTGCTGCTCTCCCCTGGGACCACCGCAACCCAAAGGGTGTGACCCAGTGCTGCAGGGAACAGTGGAGCCATGATGTAGGGAGGGATCTCATTGCTGCTGCAAGCTCTGTGCTGCCCTGGCAATGTGTCTCCTGCAAGCATGGGGACAACCCCACACTGCTACTCCATGCATGCAGGGGAAGCATCACCAGTGCAGTGTTAAGCAGCATCAAGCAGCCTTCTTGTACAGCCCCACTATTCCCTGCAGTGCTAGGTCATACTTGCTGGGCTGCAGAGGCCCTGGGGCAGCAGAGCAGGGAGCCTAGGCCCACAGCAGGCAGTGTGCACCTGCCCTGCACACAGATCTGAGGGGCATGTGCCCCCCCCCCCCCCCCCCCCCCGCCCCTGGGAGTGTGCACAGCTGTGGGGGGCTGGCCCCACCCCCAGCAAAATTCCTGCAGCCCAATTCTTCTCCCCATTTGGGCCCTGTGGCCACACATTGCGGCCCTGGGCCCCAAACTCCACATACCACCCATTTACGTAGCAGTCCCAGCCCTATCCAACTCCTTCCCTCCCTCCCTATTGTGGCCCCAATCTCCTCCCCACTTACCTGCAGGAGCTGTTGTCCAGGCTGCTTGGGACCATGTGCATATAGATGCACATGGCACCCCCTGCCTGACTGCCTTCCCCCAGCTCCCTCCCAGCTCCTTGCAGGTTGCAACTCTCTCAGCCTACAGAGAGCTCATTGCAAAACTGCAAAATCCATGGGTTTCTCTGCTAAAATGAGAAAAATCCATTTGACTCTGGTACAGGAGGAAGTCTGCATTTTACTCCATTTTTCTATGGGAAACAGAAAACCTGGATCCCTGGTTATCAGCTCCCTGATGCCTTGCTTGTCTTTCAGTTTGCTGCAGACAGTATGAAGAAGCAGGAAGAGGGAAATTGAAACTCTCAGTATCATCAACGGATGCATGCACTCCACACAAGCAGTCCTCCCTCCCCTGCCCCACCTTGCCTCAGAGTGCTAGCCAGAAGTCAGGGTCTGGCAACAATCTTGCCCCTTGAGAAGCAATCCAGGAAAAGCCTGGTGAGAGCTGCTTCTCCCTCCCCCTCCAGGCACACCCCAGCTGGGGACTGTGCAGGCAGGGTGGGGGTTTAAACCCCTCCCTAATCAGAGCATCATACCAGGGCCTGGCCATGCCCCCCTCAGCTCAGCACTGTGGAAGGAACAGGAAGACTGCTCTAGCACCCCCCGGCTTGTAGCCTGAGCTGCTGCAGGCATGTGCCTGCATTTTTTGCAAATTGGTTCAAGCTCTGCAGGTTAGACTAACCTGTAAAGACTGAATCAATTCAGGCTCAGGTTTTTGGAATATCTGTCCCTCGCCCATAGGTCCATACAGCCCAGTATCCTGTCTCACATTGTGGCAGTGTAGATGCTCAGGGGCAGACAAAGAGTTTACTCTGTCTCCAGTATAGTGTTCTAAAGCCTGCACGTACATTTGACAGGTTGTATATCAATTACACATGTAACCCTGGCCATGGTGCTACCCGCAACCACGTCCAAATTTCTGGGATCCTGGGGTGCCAATAGGTTTCAGTCTACTCCCACTCTGTCTACAGGCTGGGAGCAACACTTATGGGAGTGCTTTCCTGTGGTCCTCCCCACACCAGACCACACACTAAATAACTATTTAAAATAATTTATTATTTCCAATAATAATTGAGAGATTGACAAATTTGGCATCCCATAAATAACAAACAAAATATTTTCAATGAGCTCAATAATAATCTATACCAGTAGATAAAGCAAATACTTAACATATAACAAAAGCAATTATATTATCAACTTTAACACTCAGGCAACTTATAACAGGTATATACACTTAGTCAGCCAGGTTTCCACAAAAATCACTCTGCCTGCAGCAAAGTAGCTCACTGTGGACTGGATGCACCTCAGAAGAGATGTGGCGATGTCATCAACTGGACAGAAGATAGGGGTGCCTGTCAGGACCTCAGGTGTGGCTGCTCCGGAGACCAGGGTTTCTTCCCTTGTCCAGTCTTTCCTGGGCGCCTACAGTCAATCACACCATTTCCCAGACACTTCCCAAGGCAGCCCCCCTGTGTTTGGCACCTGCAGTGCCCCTTCTCAGCTGTACTTTATTGAGCTCTGCTGGAGCTCCCCCACAGCCACCATTCCCTGGTGCTTTCTCTAGCTCTCCCAGAGAACCTCCTCTAGCAACCCCTGTCCCTGATTCCCTCCCAGTGACTCCCTGCACCCAGGGATCTTAAGAGTGGGGAGGGGAACCCATTTCCACAACCCCTGCTCCTTCAGTAAAGTATACCAGGCAATCCTGAGTACTCCTTAGCTGATGGCTCCTCAGCCCTCAGTAGCAGCTCACTCTTCTGCCAGTCATCTTCAAGAAGCAACTCTTCTGCCAGTCATCTTTGAGAAGCAACTGTCCTGGTAGCAGCCCCCTCAGAAGCAGCCCTGCTCTGCACAGCTTCAGCTCCCCTCTCCCCAGCTGGTCTCCCCTGTTCCTTCCCGGGCTTTCCACCCTGGAGTTCCAGCTGTCCAATCACGTGCATGCATTCTGCATGCACAGCCTGCTGCAGAGCCTGGTCCTAAGAGTGCAAACACCCTAACTGAGCTTGCAAGCTCTGAGGAAACGCTTCAACACCTTTACACATATACCAGGGGTGCGTCTACATGTGTGCTCAACTGCGCAGTTGTTACTGCAGTAATTGCTGGAACTGCACAGTCCTGGTGCCACACGGCTCATCTCTGACCTAACTGCACAGTAGCAATGAGCTGCTGCTCTAGTAGTTCATTGCAACTGCACACTAGTGGCAGCATCATGGTTCATGCCCACTGATGCTACATCGCTGTAATGTTGACCTACATCACTGTAGCTCCTCACTGTAGCATCTCAGTAGATATGCCCTGGCATTAGTGCTTGGAAAATGTCACCCCAAGGATTGTGTGCACACAAAGGGAGACATGTTTTCAAAACCAGATAATATCATAATAAATTCTAACCCTAGCTCTCTTATTATGGAAGCTTCAGTACCATAGTTAATGGGAGTTAGGTGCCCAAAAAGTTTTGTGGATCTGGGCCTATACGGCACATCCACATAAGTGGAAATGTGCGTTTCCCTGGGGACAAATAGCAGTGGCACAATTTGTGCTGCTGCTACTTGTCCCTAGGCAATCTCCTGCATATGTACTCTGGTGCACAACAGATTGCCCGGGTGGGATAGTGGAAGCCTTACCTGGGGGCCTGGGGGCCTCCTGGGCCTGCAGCAGTCGTGATCTAGGCATGCAGAGCCTGGTGAGCAGCCAGAGCAAGGCTCTGGCCAGCCAGGCTCCAGTTTCAGGTGGCATATGCTGCAGCCATGTGCCCGGCTCTGCTTTTTTTTTGCTGTTTTTTTTAGATACTGGGAGTTCCTGGTATCTAATTTTGCCTCCTTACTACAAATCTGTAGCACAGAATGCTCTTTCACATGTCTCACATTTGTTTTGTGGTCTTTTGAGGTGCTGCAGTGTGCACATACGCACTCATCTGGATGAGCCAGCCCATAGTTGCTTTTCCCCAAAAAGTCACTTTGTTATATATAAACAAAATTAGAATTTTTTTCCCTAAACATATTCTTTCAGAAAAAGAATACACTTTCTATGTATTCATAAAAAGGACTTTTCAATTTGTTTATTGCTTTAATTAAAATGTGAACCCCTTGACTTTAGTGGAATAAAACATCTGGTTGAACTTTTCATAGTTAAATTTTATTGAAATCTTGTGCACAGGTTATATTTGAAGAACAACGTTTGTACGTAATTATTATGATTATATACACACGCCAGAGCAATAGGGGCGTTGTGACATCATAGATAATAACCAGTAACTCCATATTCTTTTTGTATGCAACGTACTATTGGCTATAGTGCAACAGTGAGTTTACAAAGAGAATTGCCCCAACATGTCGCTTCCATGACACACCAGTTTAGGCATTAATGTGTGAATGGCTCTCAACAGCACTGCTTCCTTAAGATTGATACTCAGTGAATAAATGTTATTAGAGAAAGTGAGGCAGAAGCACAAGAACATTTAAACAAAGTAGATTCCACTGATTCAACACCCCACCCCTGCACCACCACCCATCCTGGCAGAATCATTAAGAATCCTGACTCTGAAACATAGTGACATCATGAGGAGAAAAATTATGAAAAAAATGCATTTTAAAAGCTGGTTTAATCCACTCTGGTACTACATTTTCAATACCTTAATCACAAATACATGGTTATTGCATGGCATCACTGCAAGCAAGAATTACGAGAGCTTGCATGTCTTAAATATGCATTTCCATAATTTAACACACTTGGTTTCTTTTAAGTATATGCTGAACTTTGAATTTTCTGGGTTTGGATGATTACAACATTCCTAAAATTCTTGCCCTTAAATTATGGCTCATTTTTCTCAAGCATAACTTCAGTTTAAACCAGAGGCTTGTCTTGGGTAATACATCATTATTTTTATTAAAGTGTTATTTATATAACATTTTGCATGTTATCTAAAGTAATCATAGAGTCATAAAAAAGTAGGAGTGGAAGGGACCTCCAGAGGTCTTCTGGTCCGACCTCCTGTTCAAGGCAGGGTCATCCCTATCCGAATCATCCCATTCTAGTCCTTGTCTAACCTATTCCTAAAACTACATGATCAGCTCTGTCATAAGCATATTGCCCAAAGACACAAAAGCACATTCAAACTCTTCCTGAAGAAAAAGTATCAAAGACAAAATAGTCTATTTACTGTATCTATGTTTTTAATAGCTGGAAAAATATTTTCTTTTTTGAACTAATTCTATTTAATTATTCTTGAAGTTTTGTTGTTCATGAGAGAGTTATCTGGGATGCTAAGATAAAAAGGCTGATGCTTATAGAGTTGTTAATGCCTGATAGCCAGGTGTTATTGTTAATTATTGTTATTAATCATTTATATAGCACCTTCAGTGTAAGTGCTGGTACACAAAAGACAAATTCCCTTTGTTAAAGAGCTTATAATGCAGAACATATACAATAAACAAAGGAAAGACATAGACACATTGGGCATTTTTACATGTGCTCCGGGCATGGGGGGGGGGGAGGAGCACTTTAATTAAAGTGGGTCTGAGAGCTGCTCTAATTAAAATGCCACAGCATCTCATGCATCAGCATCCCTGGTCTTCAAAATGGCAGCCAGGGCAATTTAACTAAAGCTTATTGAATGAGCTTTAGTTAAAATGCCCTTGTTGCCATATGTAAGCATGGGGATTCTGATACATAAGACATGGAGTTTGGCTGGAGCACACTAATCAAGGCTACTTCATGCACTGTAATTACAACATGTTGGAGCAGCCTCCCAGCACATCTAGCACCCCAGGCACCCATGGAGAGAGCAGTGATAAGCAGAACAATGTAGGAATGATTTCTGGGGGCACTGGGAGGTTCGAAAAAAGGGTTTGAAAGAAACCAGATTTGCCCATGTGCAAGAACACAGGGCTGCGTAGGAAACTTCTAGGTTGTTACCTACTCCAGAATCACTTTCAAAGCCCATTATAAAACTGCATAGGCTTTTGGATACTCCCCAAATCTCTGATCTAATGGTTTTAAACCTTCATCTCATGCCAAACCTAAATGTTTTTATGACCAGTTTATATCTATGTGTTGTGATAACTTTGTCCTTCAGCTTAAATAGGGATTTTTTTAAATCTGCCAGTTGTAGTTGCAGATAGTAAGTATACCCCCTCTCAGTCTTCATTTTACAAGGTTCATAGATTCATAGATGTAGGGTCAGAAGGGACCTTGTAGATCTTCTAGTCTGACCCCCTGCCCTGGGCAGGAGAGAAAACTGGGCTCAATGACCCCAGCTAGGTAAATATCAAGCCTCCTCTTAAAGACCCCCAGGATAGGAGCCAGCACCACTTCCCTTGGAAATTGGTTCCAGATCCTAGCCGCCCTGATTGTGAAGTAGTGCCTCTGGATGTCTAGTCTAAACCTACTCTCTAACAACTTATGGTCGTTATTCCTTGTTACTCCGGGAGGTGCTCGGGGGAACAAGGTCTCTCCCAATCCCCTCTGGTCCACCCCAGTAAGTTTATAGATGGCCACCAGGTCCACCCTCAGCCTTCTCTTGTGAAGGCTGAACAGGTTCAGATCCCATAGCCTCTCCTCATAGGGTCTGCCCTGCTGTCCCTGGATCATGTAAGTGGCCCTCCTTTGGACCCTCTCAGTGCTATCCACATCCCTCCTGAACTGCAGTGCCCAGAACTGGATGCAGTACTCCAGCTGCGGCCTGACCAGTGTCGCATGGAGGGGAGGATCACCTCCTTGGCCCTGCTTGTGGTGCATCTGTGGATGCATGACAAGGTATGGTTAGCCCTACTGACCGTGTCCTCGCATTGGTGGCCCATGTTCATCTTGGAGTCAATACTGACTCCAAGATCTCTTTCTGCCACCGTGCTTTTGAGAAGAGCGTTCCCCAGCCTATAGGTTGTCATGACCCAAAAGGCATGATTGTGTGTGTGTGCTTCGGCACCAGAATTATCCCCATCACGTTGCAGAGCATTGCACGGGAGAGTTTCCTGTAGCAAGAGGAAACCCCGGCGCAGGGACGAGTTTCCCGCCTTTTCTGCAGCTTCTTTTGCAGGGTGCATTGCTCATGTTGCAAGAGGAATGCACGGTGCAAAAGAGTTCCCGCCACCGGTATGCAAATTTGTTCCCCGTGATTGGCTAGTGCTAAATTATTCACACGTGGCGGCTA